GCGAAAAAAAATAGGGGCGTTTAACCCGCGAGTTGCTGGGGGGGGGGGCGTTAAACGCACCCACTTTTTTCGCCGGGCCATAGCATAAAAACGGCGCGCCGCAGGCGCGCCAAATTTTGGGTACCTGTAGGGAATTGATTGAAGTTCATTTTGACAAAGTTTCAAAAAATCGGTCGGAAAATTTTTGAGACATCGAGGTTTTAGTGACGTCATGATTTCTGAGTTTTCGACCAAAAACGGCATATGTTCAAAAAATCATATAAAATCACAGAATAGACATACAGACATGCCGTAAACGCCATTAGACTGCCAATACCATGAACAATGAAATGGCTATCTTCGATTATTGATTATCGTTCCGCATTTTCCAAAAACTTGCACTGAATCTTGGCAATTTCTCGTGACTACTTCACGACCATGATACATGCATTACTTAAATTGAACTTTTTTAGCCAAACACGTAAACATATGATAAAATGAATGTCACCATCGTGTTCTACGCCCCAAATTACCCATAAAACATGTATCACAGGCTGCGAATATCAGTTTTTATTTTCGGGGATATGTGCCTGCCCGGTTGACCTGACCTTGACCCTGCCCTATGCTTGACTGACCCTTGCATGGAGCTGACACTCTTGTAGGCCTTATATGATGGATTGTGCACCGTTTTGACAGAGTTTATGACGAGAGGCGCCCATAGCGAAGTCCTGAAGTCCATGCTACTGAAAGCCCGATTTCAGGTGTTTGACCTGACCTTGACCTGACCTGTGACCTTAAAATTCAACTTTAAAGTACTCATCTGAAGCGTCTCGTCGCGTTCTTTCGTTTGCCGCCTCGTGCGTTTCGCTGCGCCTATTGGTTCTCGAGTTATCGGCTGGGGGCGTTTAACGCCCCCCCAGCAAACGGTGGGTGGCGAAATACCCCAGCAACTGCCGGGTTAACGCCCCCCAGCAACTCGCGGGTTAAAGAGACTATCCCACCTTTAACATGGGGTTTGAGTTGAGATAGCCAAGTTTGCGGCGAGGTTCAGAAACCACTATCTATCTAGGTTGCAACCCCCGCGGCCTCTTGGTGTTGAAGAAATTCGTTCCCTTCATTTGAAAATGGGCCTTGCGCAAGGCCCTATCTTCAACATGGAGCGACCGTTAGTGTGACGTCACCTCGTTTAGTCATTCTGATTTAAATGGGTTTGTTCGTTGAAAAATCGCTTAAAACTTGGTCTAAACTTTGTTGTGGTGCCTACAGAGTAAAAAGAATCAGCTTTATGACAGTAATGTTGCCTGGGGAAGGAGGTAATTCTGGGCTGTGACGTCATATATTTGAAAGTTTGTGTTTGGAATATGGGAAGCCTAAGATGTTTAATGAAAAATAAATGCCAGAACCGTGTTCCTGGTCATCCAATCTATAAAGTCGGGCACAATTTAACTGGTTTTAACAACATTTTAGAAGGTGGGATAGTTCCTAATGGCCAAAACTTTTCAAAATGACAATGCGGGGTAATTTGGCCGGTGCTAGTGGAGTAGCTTTGACGGTGCTCTCAGGATCGCTATTAGTGGTGTCAATCGGAACTTGAATCTTCGGAATTCCGATTTTGTCCAATGTCCGATTCGGAATTCGGTTGGACAATGGCAGCAGGCTTTGGACAACTTTGGACAATCGCTTGCTACACCTCAACATTTTTAAAAAGTAGTCGTGTTTAACATTGATTGGCTATGAGAAAGCTCAGCTTTCGATATGATTACCACTTTTGAGCTTGTAACGGTACATGAAAAGCAAATTAAATAACAGTGTTGAGTGTAAACTATTGCGTAGGTGTCGGACATCGTTGGACAAATGGCTGGCTTGGACATTTTTGGACGGACAATCGACGTAAGCATTGGACATTGGACGGACTTTGGACATACGTTTTCTGAAATTGACACCTCTAATCGCTATGCTGGGACGGCCGACTTGATAAGGTCGTCGTGCCGAGCTGGTTGGGTTTATAGCCTTTGGCGGTGGCATTGCGGCACAGTCTGCCTCCTAGGGGCCCATCAAGACGCTGCGCAATGCAACACGACGAAGATGCATGGGATCTGCTCAAACCAAACTGATAGTCACATCTCCAGCTCGCAATCACTATCGACAACTTGTTTGCAGGTAGGTATCGGAAGGTAAAGAGATGTGTGTGTGTGTGTGTTTTTGAGTCTGAGTTGAGTTATTTCATTGATTGCTAATAATTTTAAATTGAAATTAGTCGATTATGTCCTTACTAGAATAAAAAGTTAACGTTTTCTCAAGCAGTGCCCTCTCACTATTCACTAATTACATATTAGTTGCATTGTGAAAACATTTTTTATCACAAACAAAATGCAAATGTTTGATTGAGCAGTGTATGCAAAGGAAGCGCATTTTCAGTTGTGCAGGAAAATACTAAAATAAGACCTGAGTCAAAATCCTTCAATTCAAAGTCCGACACCGAGTCAGCCTAAAAATGCGCTTAGGACACATGTCATTGCTGACGCTGAAGCTGACTCGCCCGTAAGATAACCTTCGCCCCAGTGGGGGGGGGGGGGGGGGGCATATGTCACCACCCTGTCGCGTTTTTTGCGTGTAAATAAAAAACCGCGGCGCGTAGCCGCTTGGGGTAGCTTTTGGTACATCAATTTTGGACAATGTGTGAAATTTTTGACCCCAGGTCATGTCAGGTCAGGTCACCAGGTCATGTTAACTGACCAAGCCTAAAAAAGTTTGCAATCATGTCCAGCCTGCAGTGTTTGTCAGAAAGATTTTAAACTTGGTGGATTGCATGATGCTATGGGCGCCTACAATTTGTATATCTCGGATTTTTTATATCCGTGACCTAAGGTCAGGTCAGTGGCGTGACCTTTCCATTACAAGTCAATGGAGAAAATGAAAACGCCTCTAGATCCGTGTGTACGCATCGGAACAGTCCAAATATTTCAGAATCACAATGATTTGGACCACCCGTGATGACCAGGGTGTCATTTTTGCTGATAGCCTCTAGAAAGGTCATCCGAGGTCATTTGAGGCTACAAACAGATTTTTGCCAGTAACTCGCGATTGGAAAGAGATAGAACGCTGGGAATGGTCTCATTGTGTTTGTCTTGCCGAGACGCATCGACTGATATGCAAAATGACCTTTTCCGGTCAGGTCATGACCTTGACCTGGGGTCAAATTTTCAAGTTGACCTTTCAATGTCAAATTATAGTTCATTCGACGTGTCTCGGCGAGAGGAACACGATTCTGGCAATAGAAATGTTGTGGCTTTTTGTTGTCGAAAGTTATTGCCGAAAAACACTTTTCGTAAAAACAGCTATTTTTGGAGGTTTTGCCCTCTGGAGGCTAAACCCGTGACCTGAAGTCAATTTTGATAATGAACTTTTCAAAAGAAGAGTTCAAGAGCTATCGATTGTTTTTCTATGCGTTTTTCTAGCTATCATAGTTCCTGAGATAACGGCATGTTTTCTGAAAAATATAGTGACCATTGGCAAATTTTGACCTTTGATGACCTCTGGTGACCCCAATATTGCTCTAAGATGAAAAATGACTGAAATACTTTCAAACGTACGCATTGAGAGCTATCGACTGCTTTTTACCGCGTCTCTCTAGCCCTCTTAGTTTTTTAGTTAGAGGTGGGTGGTAACATATGCCCCCCCCCCCCCATTAGGGCGAAGTTGGCTGAGACCGCCACTGGGGCGCGGGATAAAATACAGGCTTAAATTTTATTAGGACACCGGCCAAATTGCCCCACCCCTGACCCAAATTGCCATAGGCGGCGCCAGAGATTTCCGGTTGGGGGGGGGGGGCAAAATCAGCTTTTGTGTTAAATCTTGCCTTTCCCCAGAAGCTACTCACTCGTTTTACATATCATTCGACGCGCGATGGTGCGAGGAAGCCGATGGTGACAAAGTTTTCCACTTGAGCTTGGAGCCCTCGGATAACAGTGTGAACCATCGGGGTCTGTGTCGAATCCCTAAGGACGCTACGTAGCGACATAAGAAACATGTGTTGCGACCCTCAGAGGGACACGTGAGTTGTGACCCCTCAGATGCCGGCTTGGGGTTAGCAGTCTGTCGCCTCAAAAGTTCGGCTGAGCTATCAGAGGCCAGTTAAGGTTCTCAGAAATTTTCGAAGGCATCCTCAAAGATCCGTGTGGCCCTTCAGAGGTCTACGTATGTATAAGATCCTCAAAGATCCCTGTATGGGCCCTCAGAGAACATGGGCACCAGTGGAACTCTCCGAGGCCGGTTTGGGCCCTCTGAAAGCTTCTTAGAGCTTAGTAGAGCTCCTTAAGAGCCTGTGTGAAAAGCAAGCTCATGAGCCCTGCGACACTTGAACAGTACCTACATGAGCCTGTCGCAGACATTTGACGAGAATTGAGAAAGGTCCCGAAGATTTCGTGTAACGCTTTGAACGAAAATTATATGTCAGCGCACTCCAAACCTTATGAAAATCAGATATAAAATGGAATAAAGAACCAACTAGGAACAGGGAATGAATCACAACATTGACATTTCCGAGTCTGGAGTCGGAGTCTTGAAGATTTTGGCGACTCCGACTCCGACTCTGGTTTGAACTGCACGCTCCAACCGAGTCTGACCTCACAGGCATTCTAAGAAATGTATCCCATTTTCCCCGACCCCTAAATCTCATCGGATCTGTATCGATCTTAGGGGTGCCTGGTCCGAGGTTGGGGGCGGGGCAAGCTGCCCCCTCCCCCCCGTGGCGACGCTAATGAGCAAGGCAGTTTGACCGCTCTGTAGACCTTTGTAAAACGTCAAAATTTAGGTAAAAGTAGTTGCTCTATCATTTTCAGTTTACTGTACAAGAAAGTAAAATGAATGGTAAGTACATCTGCCAGCGTCGAGAGAGTGCAGGCATATGTCGCCAACTTCGAGCTACAGCGCTTCCTAAAAGAGCGGCCAAATTACCCCGTCCTTCCCCACCTGTGGTAGTTTACGACATAGCCGCACGCACGGCGCACCAGCAGGCCTACCTTGTCCGTATCTGTTTCGGCTGAAGACCACGCCGCGGCCGGTGGGCGCCGGGCTGGCTGCCAGGCTGGCCGGCGATACGGGCGGGCTGACCGCCGCCGGCTGGTGGGACGGGGGGACGGGGGCACCGCCGTCCCTCCTCTCCATGGCTGGAGTCGGCCCGCGGCGCCGCGGCGACTCAGCCGGGGCCGTCACACACGGGGCTCGGCCGTCACACACAGGGCCCGGCCGGGGTCTGACCGTCACACGGGGCCTGGCAGCACCGACCCGGCCCGCCCAGCCGGTGTCTGCTGGTGTGCCCCTGACCCGGCTCGTCCCGTCGGTCGGTATCTGCAGTAGTGGGATCCGCAGAGCGGGCCCGCCGCCGCGGCCGCCGCCGTCTCCCTGCCGGTCCCGGTCGGCGGCCCCCGTCCACTGATGGTGGCGCGTCTCTCCGGTGTCGGTCGGCCGGTGGGCAGCTGCCTGACCCTCCACCTGAGTGACAGCGGCAGCACACCGGGCTGCTGGAGGACAGACACCAATCACCAGCGCACCAGTCACCAGCGCACCGTCAGCCGCGGACGCCCGGCGCCGCGCTGCCCGCGCTCGCCGTCCTCTGCTCTGTGCTCCCGGTGCACGTGCCGTCTCAGCCGGGCGGACTGCGGAGCCACTCACCACCCCGCTGACCTGCAACGCAATGCAACGCGCCTGCACCGCCTGATCCCGGAGCGCCGCCGCTCGGCGGGGAAAAACGGCAAAAAACGGCGCGCCGCCGGCAGCGCCACACTGCGGCTTGCAGGCGAGTTCAAGGCCGAGGCATGCAACACACCGACGGGGAGAGCGGGGGAGGAGCGAGAGGGAGAGCGGGGGAGGAGCGAGAGGGAGAGCGGGGAGGAGAAGCTACCAGGCGCCGGCGGCGGCGGCTTGCGCTGGGTCAATAACAAAGGTTTGATGAACGAAGTCAAAGACTGAAAATGTATTTATTTATGTACTTAGATGAGGATGAACTATGGAATGTTTCCATGAATCGGGGATGTTAGATTGGTTTGGATTAGGTGCAGGTGTTGATCAGATCAGGTATACGCAAGATGACACCACCAATGACTGGGAATCCGGTTTTCAGCATGCGAACGCAAACATTGTCGGAGCCGCAAGCACTCGAGCTACGCATGCTGAAAATAATCCGCTCAAGCTCCATAAGCGTGATCTCATTCAGCTCAAGCTTGTGTGATCTCTCACACAAGTGTGATCTCACTAGTCACTATACCCCGCCAACACGGGTAAGACTTTGTCGATATTTGCTTTTATGCTTGCGTTCCCATGTGGAGACCTTGTTGGTGACATTTTTTAGTGTTGTGTGACTCATTTGAGCCCTGCAGGAATTTTTCTCGTCATTTATTCTCGTTTTAAGTGTTTTTTAAATGTGAACCATATCATTAGGTACCAACCCGAATGATGCCCTCGAGGCCCGGTTGAAACTTTGAAGCGCAGACGGTGAGAAGCGTCGGTGAGATGATGTCTCCAAAATCATCTCACCGAAGTCTTAGTGCAACACGTTTCCCCAAAGAGCATTTAAATCGGATCCTGAGTGATGGTTGTTATGCTTTTTGCGTTTGACATGTTTGTGGGTACCTATAAGTACAAGCATGTCACTTTTTGTCAGCATGGGTAAACGTTTCTGGAACACCCTGTATAAAAGAAGCTGGAGAAGCAAAACCGGCACCAAACAAAAGGTCTCAACGAGACAATCCCAAGCCACCTTAGATTATTGACCACAATTACATAACTCAATTGTAACTCAATAAACACAATTAACTCCATTAACACAATAAATTCTCAAGGGTTCAGAACTCAATGTGTCAAGTTTCAGTTGAGTGCGCCTTGCCCCGGTCTACCCTGCCTTAACCCGCGCGCCCTGCTGGAGGGGGGGGGGGGGTTAGATAGTGAATAGGTACCCCTCTGTGGCTTGCCCACGACTTACCAGTCGTCTTTTAGTTTTATGCAATTGTTGTAAAAAGTTTAGAACCAATCCTTTCCAGGTTAGGTCACCAGGTCACGTAAAATGACCTCACCTCATAAAAAATGATTGTGGTCGTCATAGAAACACTGATTGAATGATCGTTCTAAAACTTATAGCGACTGTGATGGCATTGGTGCTTTATAGGGGAGAGTGGGGTATGATGCCCAGGGTGGGAAAGACGCCCCACCCCCTCTAGCGGCGAAACAAAGAATCGAACCTGGAAATTAATGTTCTTAGCGTAAAGCGGAAGCCTGCCTTGTTAACTGTACAAAAATTTGCGAAGCCCAGTTGGGCAACGGCTGGCTGGTGATTGCATGTTTTTTATTTGCTGCTTTCAAAAAATATTTTGTTGTTAAAACATTGTAAATATCAAAGCAGGTAGATAATTTTTGCGTCCCTTGCTATAGTCGTGATACATTAACATGCGTGTACTGTGCCCCAAACAGTTTGTTTCAGGGTGTAGTTTTATGGCTAACAAATTGTACTGATTTAATGTTACTTCGGTACCTTGGGGTAAGATGCCCCCTGTCCTGATGGGGAAAGACCTAAATCCGTAGGCTGTCCTTCAAGCAGCCCGTCAAATCATTTATTACATACTTGTGATGAGAGACAAAAGCCGATCTGGGACTATTGAGAGTCCAGTACGGTCGGGTGCTCCCCATGCCGGTCTCTCGGCCCACAAAGCGACTTTTTGGCCGGCATCTGACTCTGAGAGCCCTCACGACGGCCTCTGTGGGCCCCATTATTGACTCCAGGGCCCCTCACGACATTCTTTGAGGGCTCCCACGTTGGCTCCACGGGCCGCGCTGGCATCTGAGGTCCCCACGATGGGCTCGAGGGCCCTCAAGCATCATGAAGACCTATAAGGGCCCCACAGTGGTCTCCGAACGCCACCACGGAGGCTTGTTTGGCCGCTCTGGACTATGATGGCCCTAACGATGACCTCTGAAGCCCCTTACGACTACTTTTGAGGGCCCTTACGATGACGTTTGGTGTCTACTGCAGGCTCGAAGGGACTACTGATTCGTTCAGGCGATTCACGTGCCCATTTATGTCACTTATAGTGCAGGGGGGCATCTTTCCCAACGCCAGGGGGCGTCTTTCCCACCCTGTGGGGTAAGATGCCCCCTTTCACTTCTTCAGGAAAATGCTTAATAGCAAAAAAGTTATCATATTTCAGGCACGAAGTGTGGTATTTTTGGAGAAAAATGATGTTGGCTTCCGTTGAAACTCGAAGTTTTTGCTTTCCGATCGTCATTTTCGAATAATATATGACATAGTAAAACCCTGGGCATCTTTCCCCACTCTCCCCTATAAAACGTCAATGCCGGCATTTTGACATCGGTGATGAAGCGTTAGGTCAATTTTGTGACCCTGTCATTATCAGTGAATGCACAACGGGAGAAAATGAACTGCGCTTCTTTTTGACAAAGTTCATACTAAGCACTCTCAAACACCGGGCAACAGGTAGGTAGGTATATAAGATAAGTGTAACAGATAACAGGTAATCCCTCACCGTCGCGCTCAGGGCCCCGACCCATCGCCGCGGTCCTTCCCCTCCCCCCCCCCCACTCCGCCGCAATGTTGCCGACTGCACGGGGAGGGGGTGTGTGATCTCTGATTGCCCGGGATGGTCTCCGACTGCCCGGGGAGGGCGCCCCGGGGAGGGGGGCGTGGTCTCCGACTGCCCGGGGAGAGGGCGTGGTCTCCGACTGTCCGGGGAGGGTCGCCCCGGGGAGGGGGCGTGGTCTCGGGGAGGGCCGCTGCCTTCGCCCCCTGTCGTCGGCGGACATTTGCTTTTGTTTTCCGTCGGGCAGTAGGCCTAGGCGGCCGGCCGCCATTTTGTTCCAGACTCGCCGTCACCTCTGAGCGGGGGGACAGGCCGGGGAGGGGAAGGGAGGGGAGCGGCCGACCGTCCGCGGCGAGGACAGAGAAACACTGGACAGGGAAACAGAGAAACACTGGACAGGGAAACAGAGAAACACTGGACAGGGAAACAGAGCAACACTGGACAGGGAAACAGAGAAACACTGGACAGGGAGCCACTGAACAGAGAATCCTACCTAAATACACTGAACTTGAAAACAGAATTGAAACTGCCCAGGAAAATAGGGGAGACCGGGGCAGAGCAGCCACCCCAAATGTTTGTCTTTATGCCGCGACGCTTCATTTTCAAACTTGGAAATATTCTTCCTAAATCCTATGTCAACATGATTCCCATTAAATTACCTTTCATTTCAACTTCGTTTTATGTCTAAAGGCGTTCACAAGAAGGAGATATTGGCAAAACTTTACAACTTAGGTATGCATATGGGCAGAGCGGACAACATCGATTTCTTGGCCTCGATATGAGCAACAGGATAGTTATTAGTTACTCCATGTATGACTTGAATTGTTGATGGTGCCAAGGTTTGACGAGGATCAACGTTTATTTTGTCATCTTGCCACCTGTAGAAAAACAATGCAAGAACATTCATGAAAAAGCAGTGCATTTTTTTAAAACCAGTATAGGAACCCTATATAGGTACTAACCGAAAAGTGGCCAAAATGAACGCTTGACGAGGAAAAGTTGAAAGTTACTGGAAAAGTTGTGAACCGATTTTATTTCTTTGCAATAGAAGCTGCGCGATTAAATTATTGACAGGTAGCCATAATTTCACATCAATATTATGTTTACGGCGCCAGTTATTGGCGAAGGTTTCGCCCCTCCCCACTGCGCGTGTTAATTCTCAATTCGGTGAGTTAAGAAAGGTAGGTACGCTATATGTTGTTTATGACTTATGACTTATAGGTACGCTATAAGTCATTTTTCCCAGGAAATTAGGTATGTATGGTTACTTTTTCGGATTATCATCTGGGATAATAATTTCTAACTCAGAAGTCCATATATTTCGGATGATGTTGTTCACCCTTGTTCACCCTGTAGTTTAGGGGAAGTTGGGGCAATGCCGGAGTTGGGGCAAAGCCGAAATTCGAGATATTTCGAAAACCGTAAGACATGGATGCCACCTGTCAGTGATGCTCTGAAGCTTAAGTGACTACAATTATCGCATGTTTGTTACGAGTCGTCATTCGGAATACTTCGACTGTGAGGGCGCCAAGAGCGTTTTCAAGGTACGTTTCCCTTGTACTACATGCGCCTTTGAAGCTGCATTTTTTACTCATTATGCTACCGTTTGTCTGGCCAATTCGGTCAAGTAATCTTTAGCATGTCTTTGCATAAGTGTGCTGCCTATTTGAAATTTATACAGCACGTTGAAAAGTTATGGGCCTGCAAATGAAAGTATGGCTGGCTGGGGTAATGCCGAAAACGTGCGATTACGCACGTGTTAAAAGCACGCTACGTGGACTTTACTGCTGTAGAATAGCAACGCGTATTTTTAGTCACACAAATTACACTTTCAACCGACACAACGGCCTGTTACCTATAAGGAATGATTTACCTGGCATTTTCTTATTATATCACACAATTATAACTTCCAGTGTGCACCGCGTCCTCAAGCTCTTGAAACGTGTGTCAGCTTTGATGAATTCTGGATAAAGTTTGAGATAAAATGGCAAAACATCAATGTCGGCATTCCCCGTAGATCATTTCTCCCATTTTCGGCTTTCCCCGCAGTCCGGGGCAACGCCGAAAAAGTCACTTCTTTGATATTTT